GCAAAACAGGCAGAAACAAGAGAATGGTAAATGATGCATAAGGAGTTCATGTTTACATCATAAATTGTGCCAAAATGGAAGACAGCAGCATTGAAATGAAGCACATGCTTGTATTTTTGAAGCAAGGGCATCAGGCAGCTTGGGAACAGCTCTATAAAATATTTGAATATAAACCCATTGAATGGTATTTAATAGAAAAAAATAACATTTTCATAGATACATTATAAACTCACACAATACCCAGCTCTCATCCTCAGCTTGTTTAATGAATTCATTGGAGTAATTAAATAGGTTGTAAGTAGTTTATGCCTAATCTATAAAAAACAAATGATAACTAGGCATTTTGCAGAGAATTAATTGGTTAATGTTGGAATTATGCTTTCAAGATTCAAAGTACCATTATTCTTCCTGTGAATTTTCTTTGGAGCTGTCAAACTGACACATCCTCTTAGGACCCTTGTCATTCTCCTCTGAGTTTCTCCCTAGCTCAACAGTGTCTGGAAGCATCGGCCAGCCTGGAACAAATTTTGTTTGTCTGGACTTACCATACACATGCTAAAAACATACCATCCTGAAAGCCATTAGGAAATCTGCACCACTACCACTGGGGCATGGACTCGGGCAACACTGATGCAAGAAATACTGCCGTGCATGTCAAGATGCAGCCTGTGTCCCACAGGCACAGACCACAGACATCAGCAGGCACAAAGAATAACTCAAGCAGTATTTTCTTCCTGCTCTTCACCTGAAGTTTCCAGGAACCATCCCTAAACAAGCTGTTTTCTATTACTGAAATCCTATAAACTTCTTCCCTTCTCAGTTTTGTAACAAACCCTTACCTGTATTTTAGAGACAAGGTTATATATCATACTCTCCAAACATTCTAGCATGAGGTGTCAGAACTTCCTCATAGAAGGAGATTTCCAAACCACCAGTGAAGTTGACTCTGATTCTGGGTGCTTGTTTCAGAGATGAGATGGAGTAACTGAACCCCACTCACACAAAGTATAATTTGTATTTGCTAATTTACTCACAAGAGATTGGTACCAGGTCTAGGACAGAGGGAATCCAGACTTTGTGGCTGCCCCTCTTTTTCTCAAGTTATTACACATATTATCATACATATTTCCTCATTACACAATGCATAGACTGAACCGCCAAATACTACAAAATTTAGTGCCATAAGAAGTCGTAAACTCCCTTTTCCACTTCCCTTCTGTCACAAAGCTGTATGTCTTCTACCCTCCAGGAAACTCTGTGGGAGGCCAGAGAGGTGGAATCAGGAAGGGGAAGGGCTGGAGCATGTGCACTGCTAGATATTCAGTCCTGGAATGGCTTGGGTTGGATGGGACCTTTAAAGTTTGACTATGCCAAACCCCTGCCATGGGCAGGGACACCTTCCATTACATGCATTGTTCAAAGCAACCTGTTTGTTCCTACAGGGTCTCTAGGGATGGCTCACAATTACTGCACGTTATTGCAGCTGAGATCATAAGAGCTCTTGGCTTTGCTTCACCTCATTCTTGTGCTCAAGAAATACCAAATGTCGTGTGCTCAGACACACCCTGAGATTCCAAGCACAGCTTTCCCCCTGTTCTGCCAGGGCCATGAAGCTGGGGAAAACTCCCCTTTCCTTTTCCTCTCCAGGCATGGAACCTGCCTTGGGAAAGGAAAAGGTCCCACCTTTCCAGAGAGGTGCCCGAGATGTGACGGAAAGCACAGCAAGACACACGAGGAGGGGGGTGTATCCACTTGGAATAGTGAGCTGATGCCAAAATTAAGGCACTTCTGACCCAAACTACATCAAACACCTTAGTTTGTCTCCCTTGCAGATTAACATGTTCAGTATATCCATTTTCCTCAACACACCTCCCTGTAACATGTTACATGTATATAACGTTTTCATTGATTATCTAATTAGAAGGTGGAATTTTCAGTGCAGTAGCTCCAATTTGCTCTCTAATAGAGCAAATAGAGCCATCCCTCAAACAGATCTTATCTCAATGCACTTCCTGAGTGTGATTTTTAACACAAATGTTTTCTTGAATCTCAAATACATTTATGTTTTTTTCTTTCTCTTAATTCTGCAAGAGCAGCTCCTAAAGTTTTCCTTGACTTTAAATAAGATGGTCCAATGACAGGCTACTTGCTTACTTGTTCTTTTTTTAAACTTTCCTTTCCATTCTCTCATTCTGTCTTTAATTATTAACACTTCTTCCTTTCTGGCTGACCTATTTGATACTCAGACCTCAATGTTTACATTATTCTGCAGAAAGATATCCTTCTGCTTATGTCCCTTTCATCCACTAGAAACATCAGCCTTATGAGATAAGTAAATTTTTTACTTCTTTCATAAAATGAGAACAAAAATGTTGGAAGGATTTCAACCAGCTTCCATCTACTATAGATCAAGATGAGATGGACATGGGATCAGACTGTACTACATTTGCTGCCCCTTACACCTTCCTCTCAGGTATCAGGCTCTGCCCGCTATCAGAGAGAGGGTCAGACCAGCCAGGCCTCAGGTCTGAGCTGGCACATGTGCCCCTGTAATGCAGACACCTCCAGTCTCTTCAGGTGGGCCTTATGCATACAGTGTCTACTCTGAATGATTCCAAAAAGTGCTACCTCTTGCAACAGCTGTGTTAGAATTACGTGGCTGAAACAGGGAAACTGAGCACCATCAGGTTTAGCTGACCATAGGTTACCTGCCAGTTTTTCAAATGATGCAGTATCAATTTGTTTGTATCACTGCCATCAATTTTCCTTCCCTGACATGTACCACCAAAAACAAGACTGTACATCCTCCAGGACTCAGGCCCTGCTGTGAGTGAAGTGCCTGGAATAGCTGGAGCCTGGCTTATTACAGTATAAGAGCTTTTTTCTCATTTTACTCAGAGGTGCTAGCAAAGTTGAGGTTCAGGGAGCTCAGATCAATGCTACCTCCATTTAGACCAGGGTCCTAATGACTAAGCTAGATAACATCAACAATTTTTAAAACTTTTTTTGTCTCAAGGTGGGAAGAACACTTCAAAAACCAGGATTACCCCAGAAATCATGCCGGGTAGTAGACCAAAAAATAAATTTTTCTTTCCCTGACTGTAGGTTATAAACAGGACATACACATACACTTGTTAGCTCACTTTATACCTTTACTAGCTAGGCTGTCACCATGCCCTTCATCCCTCTGAAAATATTTCTGAATATCCAAAGTAAACATAAATAGCTGTCAACAAAAATCTTTGTGACTCAAGCCACTGGCTACTTTACAGCAACTTTACATAAATGACTACAGTGCTGTGAGGCACTGTCAGGGAAAATCAGGCCACTTGATTTTGCAGTGAAATTTCAGTTTCTCATTACATGCATACCTTTCAGTTAAAAATTCTGTCTTAGTGCTCTCCTGTTATTATTCAAAATTATTTTCTCCATTCTTTCAAGAATTGATGTCAGTAAACCATCTCAATCCTAAACAGTTGTTGACAGGAATATGTCTTGTTTTATGCAGTTTTGAATTCACTTTTCATATAACCCTCCTAGGCAAGCACTGGTGAGACACAGCACCTGGAATTTACTATGTAACACCCTTAACTTGCACAACAGGGTGTTTAGATGCTGGCTAGATAGGAGACAACAATTTGGATTTAAAAAAGTCTCACTGATCTTACATAAGAATGCTTGTTCTGACTTGCAAAATATTTATATGATTATTTTTTTTTAAGTACTGGGAAACAAGACTTTAATTAATTTATTTATTTTTAATTAGAACATTATCTCTAAGTATGTATTGTTCCACCTTTTGGAGTAATCCATGCCAGGAGAGATCTCAATTTCAGAGGTAAAATCTTTCCTGCCTGCTTTTTCCCCCCCTGAACACAGTACTTTTTAACTGATGAGCACTTGTTTGAGGGCTCTCCCTTGCTGTAGTGAAGGTTTTGCAACAGCAACGCTTTGACCTGGGCACAGGCAACAGAAGAACTCCAGCATTCTCCAGCCTGCTGCTGTTCTACAGAAGCACAAGTGTCCTCACAGAGGCCGAGTTAAATATACATGCTGCCTTTGCAACTGGGTCTTTTATATCCTTCAGAGTCCATCCCTTCCTGCTAAACCAAAAAATGTCTTGCATCTCCCAGAGACATGAGGTCTAATGCAGCTGCCTGCTTATGTTGGAAAAAGGTAAATGACCTTCTTCCTGCTTAAGAGGGTTATGTTACTCAAGGTTTCTTGCATGCTGCACTTGAATGGAAACTGCAATATAGCAAAAAAATGTACAAAACAAAATATACAATCTGCTTTTTATTAACTAAAAGATAAAAGAAAGTACTTTAGGCTCAGTGCGCAAGGAAGAAAGCACAAAAAGATACATTTTAAATTGAATGGTTTCCTAGAAAAGGCAGTAGTAATTATAGTTGCTTTAAATACACTTAAAATGATTAATGATTTTGAGTCACCATAGCCTAGATTTTCAAAGGCATTTAGCTTCTGAAACATCTAACAGTTGCTTTGTATATTATTAAGTGTCTAATCTGGATAAGTATCAAACTCCCATGTACTTGTTTGTCCATTGCATCATTAAAGGCTTTGAAAATCTAAACTCATTTTTTAAAAACTTATTAAAATTAGCAGATCTTATTCTCTCCCAATTTCTTTTTGCCAGATCAAAAGAGGAAAATACTTATTTCTTTTTCATCTCTGGTTTGGCTTCTCAGCTGTGAAGTGAGATCTAAAATATAGGATATATAACTGAAAACAATCCACTGAGACAGAATACTTTTATTTGAATATGGCGCTTAGACCTGGAAAAAATCCAGTTAACTTTTATAGCAACCTAATTCAAAAGGGAATGGTGATAATAAAAAAATAACAACTGGGATTCACCTGCTTTGAAATTTTTTGGCGTAGCTGCAGGCAGTGCTGGGTGTGGAACCTGAGCTCATGCTCAGCTGGGTACCAGCGCTCAGTGACACGGTATCCTCCCGACTCACGCTGGGCTCCACGCACGAACCTTGCCTGAACTCCTCCACAGATCAAGGGAGGTCATCACCAGCTGTTGACTAATTCAGTGAACTAAAAACGTACCATCAGCACAGGCAGAACCCTTTAGAAAATGGAAACTTCTCCAAGAACAGAAGGATACTTCCCCCATCTGGTAATATGACAGATGTCACCCAGAGTGTGTTTTCTTGTTTGATTAAGCTAACCTGAGATTGTGCTACTGTTGAAAGAGCTGTGAAATTCTTCTATCCCCTCACTTTCCCTTGTAATTTCCATCAGGTCTCCTTGTGCCGGCACTAGCTAGGAGCAGAAGTTTGATTTGAGTAGGGGATGTGTCTTGGGGCTACAGTGTTACCTTCATTACCTTCCCTTCAAATGAGGTTAGGAGTATCCCCCACAAGTCAAGGCAGTAGAGACTGATGGGTGTTCAGGTGGGGGAAAGAAGCAAAGGAAAATGATGCTTCTAAATTGAAAAAAACCCCAAAAAAACCCAATCTGTTTAAAAAAATCAGAGACATGCTTTTCATAGCTATTACGTGGTTAAATAGCTTTCCCAACTGCTCATATGCACTTACAAACACCTATAAGAGGCACTTTTACCTATAAGAGGCACTGCTTTCTTATAGTAAGAACATTCTTCCAAGCCACTTTTCTGGCTGAGCCCTAATTAAACTCTAGCTGTCGCAGGAACAGATACATTTTAGCTCTAAATGCAAGAAGCATAGCCAGAAAATGAGCCTGAAGATTTAAAAAGCCAGAACAGACAGTGATAATCAGTCTTTATAGGATGATAACTCTGTTAAAGTTACTGCATCTGTTCCTCTACTGTGAGAAAGGAGCAATGTTAATGCTCATGGAAGTTCCTTCCATTATTCCTTCTGCAAGTATCAGGAGTGGAGGAAAGCAAAGGAGCTTATAAAAGAAAGGTGTCTGCAACTCCTGCAACAAAAAATTATAAAAACCTTGGAAAGTAGAGTAAGAGAACTGGTAAGATTTTTTCAGTAATACAGAATGAAACAAAGTACTTGTAGAAGCAGTAGGGGAAATACTGAACAACACTCTGGTAAAATTGTATTAATTTGACTTTTCCTTTCATTGAGCTTCATGAGATTCCTGTTATATAGTACCTGGGCTACACTGTTAGTGACTGACCTCCTGTGAGCCTTCATGCTGCCAGTCACCACCCAGTCAGCCTGGCAGCTCAGCCTTCCACTCACCTCACTGCTCATTCATTTAGCTTCTATTTCATCATTGTGTCTATGATGATGTTCAAAGAGATACTGCCAAAAGCCTTTCTAAAGTTGAAATAAACAGTGTCCTTTGATCTTCCATCATCCACCAAGCTGGCAATCTATTGTTTTGGAAGGCTATCAAGCTTGTAAAGCATCGTTTCCCCTTCATGCAAACATGCTGACTGCTGCTGGTCATCTACTTTTCTTATGTTTGGAAATGGATTATAGGATTACTTGCCCCATCACTTTCCCAGGGATTATGGTGAGGATTACCAGCCAGCAGCTCCCAGATCCTCTTTCTAGCCCTTCCTGGAGCAAGGAGTCACATTTGGTCTCTTTCAGTCCTCAGGAACCTCCCCCAGGAGCCATGAGCTTTCAAAAACTAACAGGACTGGTCAGACCATGATTCCAGCCAGCTTCCTCAGCACTGGGGCTGAGGCATCCTGTCAGGTCCCATGAATGTCCAGCTTGCTTCAAATGTTCCCTAACCTGTTATCCCTGTACCAAGGGTACAGTTCAGGCCTTCCCAATGGTCTCTGGGCCCTGGGATTCCTGAAGATCTCCTGAAGGTAAAGACTGAAGCAAAGGCAGCATTGACTACCTCGGCCTTTTCCATCGCCATCGTTGTCCTTGCTCATGAGTGAAGTTCACACAGTCACTGAGACCCCTTTTAGGATGGGCTTTCAAGTGGGAAGAATAAAAATATAACAATAGATTATTCAGAAGCATTCTTAACCCTGAAACCAGACAAAGGACAAACTACAACACTGCTCTTACTTAAGAGTGCAACAACGTTTAGTATGACAAATCTAAACTTAAATTACATTCTTACTAGCTTCTAAAGGAGAACTGCTGATTTTCTAGTTCCAGAACAGATTTAAAATTGGACTTGTACACATATGTTTTGTTTATCCTCAATTCACTGGGCAGAAAATTACATTTCAGACCCTGAAATTCCATCTTGTGAGCTTAATTTAGTCTCTGGTATTCTGCTTTTCTTGTCATCCTTCTTTCACCCTGGCATCTCTGTGTAATAGTAAAACCCCTGCTGCAGATTAGACTTTTTGCTTTGGAACACAGCCTCAGCAACTAGTGGGAATTTAATACTTGAATGATTCTCTGTAGAGGAGTCAGTAACTGTCCATGATAAATCTAAACAAGTCTGATCAGAAGTACTTTATTGTGACTCATTGAACAAACTGGTGCTGAGTTTTAATGACCTCTATGGTAATTAAAGTTATGTCTTGCTGGACAGACTGGTGATTCAACTATGCAGGCCCATGAATGCCATGCCTACATGAACCCCTGGGGCTGTTCTTGCCGTGAGGCCAGGTGCCATGAGGCAGCCTACCAGCATACAGCAAAACATTATCTAAATTCTGGTGGCAAATCCAGCTCTCTCTCGATTCCTCACCTCTTGCCAACTTCTGAACTGGGTACGAGAATTGCTAGGAGAGTTATCCAGGCAAAATGCAGAAGAAATGGAGCAAGTTTGCTAGAGAGGGATTTCTCTGACTTGCAGAAGAAGAACAGGAGAGGACAGGACAGCAAGAGACTGCCTATTTCAAAGATCCTAAACAAAGTAGGAAATACAGGACAAATGAGATTACAGTTAGAAAGATGGCACTTGTGAACTGTCCCTCTCCTTACCAAAACACAGATTTAAGATTAGGCTTAAAAATTACTGTGCCAGCCTTATATTGTTTGCAGCATAAATTACCCCAGAAAAGGTTTACTCTGGCAACACATAATTCACAACAAATTGAGCATAACCATAACATAACAATAATTCACAGCCATTGAGATAACCATACAGATAATCTCTAAAATTCTGGAACTAAAGCATGTTGCCATTACAGCCAACATGAAACAGTAACTCCAAAGACACAGAGCAAAACCTAACAGAAAGTCACATCAATACCCTCAGGCAGTTCTAAACCAACTAAATATATAAAAAGCCCACTACACAAGTCCTTGTAAGAGAAGCCACAGGATTGTGCCACACACAATATACATTGTATAACTACAGACATTTTTTAACTTAAAACAGAAATATCTTCCAGTAATACATGGAAAAGACTTCTTATTTTAATAAATTTTAAGTACAGCTTAAAATATGATTCAAAAGCATGAACAGACATTTATTGGGTCTTTGAAATTGCTTCTAAGTATAATACTGCAATTTAGCTTTTCACAGCAGCTGCACATTTGTACATCCAGAACAAAGGAATTAAAATTGATATCATATAGTGAAAAACTCTGCAATTTCAATTTCTCAAAAACCCCAAATATAATAATGTCGTGAGCTACTCATGTCAAGTTCCTAATTTGCGATCCAATGCCCAAAAAATCATAAAAAACCACATTCCAAATTAACCACTCTTAATAACAATAAAAAAAAATAATATGAGTTTTTTTACAAAAATCTAAGTATATGAATTCAGAATCTGTCTGCTTACAGCTAGTTTACCAGAAGTATCGGAAGGATTTCATCCATAAGGGCATCTTTTATCATGAGAAGCAGTAAAAAAAGGAATCTTCCAACTCACTTTAGTTGTGTCCTAGTATTTTTCATTAGGTAGTCTTTTGTAATTAGGATGAATTCTATTTTCTATACCAATCTTCAGGAACAACAGTCTAGAACCTAAATTAATAAACTACTGATTTTTAAAGTTACTTCTTGAAATTTAACAGGTACTTTCAGAAAATCTGAAACTTCTTCTTGTTGTAGTTCAACTTCAGGTACAGCAAGAGAGCAAAAAATTGAAAATTAAGAAAACAATGCAATTTTTTATTTCAGAGATTCCAAGATTATCAGGTGATTTAACTTGGATACAGTACGCTCCAAGTAAATGTGTAAATGTGTGAAGTATAAATAGCTGAAAGTTAGTTACCTGCCAAATGCATCCAACAAGTATCTAAAATTAAATAAGCACTATAGAAAAAATATATTTTGAGTGCTTTGTATGCAGTTCACAGACCCATCAGATTACCAAGAGAACATACTTCAATGTCATTATCTACACTTGCTTATAAGAAGATTGCTCTTCAGGAGGGGAACAGAACATCAGCTAGAAGCCTTAATCAAAGCCATTATGACAATCTTTGAGTCTGATTCTTATAAAACATTTTACTTGGGTCATAAGCTTTTCATTACTGCAGATGCACTACTTTAAGACTTTAAAAATAATGTCTTTCTTCCATGTATTAAAATATGCATTTCACAGCTCTATGAAAAAAAATATTGCCAATCTCTCCAATCCATTAGCACAAAAAATGTATTTCTGTGGGCCAGATATGGGCATATTTTTATGGTGATTGCACCATTCACAGTGCATCTTAAATCAGATAAAGAGAATAAACAGTTCTATTGCCTCTTGATGGCCAAAGAAAGATTTGCTTAGAAATAATGTCAACAAACACATGGATTTATGGCACATGAAATATAGCTAAGGCTACTACCATTTGATATAGTGACTGACTTGTTCTAAAATATTGTAAAATATTTTTTGTCTGTTTCCTATTTTGCTAGCTTTCTTAGGATTCTTGGCTTCTATTTTAAAATACGATATATTTTGATATATTTGATGTATTTTTTTGGAAATATAACCAGTGCTGAATATTAGTTCAATGCTTCTTCTTGAAAACCATGTAAACATACCCCAAAACTGTTATATTTCCCAGAAGGTGAGCATGCGGCACAAGTTTTAAGATTTTCCTCTACACCCTAATCATTACCCCCTAGAAAGGATACAGCAGAGAGCCCAAGGGTGAAACTGGCAAACCATGTTAATAACACAGATTATTTTTTCACATGCTGTTTCTAAGGCAGCACGCACAGAAATCTGTGCTGAAATCAGGATTCAAGTGCTGCAATTGCTTCATTTGTCTTTCAGCACAAATGAAATCTACAAATCCTCAGACATTAAAGATTTGAGGTATACTACTGGGTAATACAATGGGATTCATTCACTTGAACACTGGAGTCTGCTTTCAAGAAGAGTCTTAACATCTATAACAACTGATTGTGGCAGTTTAAATCTAGGAGACAACTCAACTGTTTTTAAAACAAACACAATAAATCAAACCACAAAAATCCAAGCCATAATAGCAGAGGAAGCCTTCCTTTTCTTAACTTCACCTTCCTCCTTACCTTCTCTCTCAATTCCATGTTCAAGTTACTTTCCAATGGACATAGAGAACCTCATTTAAGCCCTAAATATAACTTAAATATGAGGCAGCATTTTCATCACTTGCTTACAAGAACGTTTGGAAAACATTCTCCCCACTCCTTAAAATGCCAGTGAACCCAAGAAGAAAACGAGTCTGACAACATACATCTATTACATCAGACTTCATGAGAAATCCAGAACTTTTCTCTGAATCATCAGCCCATCCTTCCTAAAGAAAATATCACTTTAATAGAAATATGCACAAACTAAAATGCTGAAGAGTATATCAAGTAAAATATATATATAAATATGTATGAGACCACAAAAATGCAGAAGGCCAGATCAAAGCCAGATATTATCAGTAACATAATTTCTGTTATTGAAGCAGTGGCCACTCACCCAAATCAATGTGTAAACACACAGTCAGCAATGCACCAATGGCATACCTTAGCATAAGGCTCAATAAAAAACAGTAAGGCTGAACTAATGCCAGCTTACAATATATGAACAACAAATAACAAAAAATGCTACCCCTCCCTCCTCCTGCATTTTCAGTCAACAGAAGGTCTTGATAACAGTATTAGTGGGAAATGAAGCCAATGCTTTCAAGCCAGGCAGGGAGAAGAAGAACTTTGGGACCAGTCTGATTCTCCTTCCCTTCCTTCTACTGGATGATACTTGTAAAATGCAGCACCAACACAGGCCAATCTCCCAAATGTCAATAGGGGTACCATAACTGAACAGCAATTATCATATGCAGATCACAAGCATACATTATTGCCATGCAGTACAATTTATTCACAGAGGAGGTAGGATATTCAAATCTTCACCAAATTAAAATACTGAACACAGATCATTATTACTCATTTGAATCAAGACACATACTGTACCCATGACTTTAAGCATCCTTATTAAAAGTAATTAGATTCTGGCAAGTCTTTCCCAATTAACACAGCCAGTCAAAAGTAAAAAGTAAGTCACACATACCAGCTGTGTTATCTGCACAACTCATGAGGAATTAAATAATTTATGCATGTCACCGTTAAATAACTTTTAAGAATTTTTCATATACATAAAACCCTTTCTTTCTTTCATTATTTTTCATTATTATAATTTACATGCAAATATGGCATCAAATCAACTTACTTATTTTAGAAAGTGACTTTGCTAGACTGTATGCTGGTTTGAACTCCAGAAATGCTTTGAGAGAGTACCTCAAGACTTCTAACTGCGAGAATATTTTCACTGGAAAAAAAAAAAAAAAAAAAAAAAAAAAAAAAAAGAAAGAAAGAAAAAAGGCAGTGAATTTGAAAATACTGGCTATTTCACTGTAAAATCACAGACTAGCAACCCACATTCTTCTTTGAGTAGTTCTCTACAGTACTGTTAACCAGTGACCTTCGTTACATTAAGTCACAGCAACACCACACTGCTTTTCCCAAAGCAGCAATCATGTGTTGTGCCACAGAATACACAGAGCTTATTTTGGCTGGGAGGGCAACACCTGAGGCATGGGCATGTGGCCATGAAATGGAGGCATGCCTAGTCTTGGGAAATGCAGAAAATCCCATGTATTTTTCTCACCTTCTGTTCTTCAAAACTGACACATCAGTGAGCAAGCATTATTTGACAATAATACAGACTACCTACATAAGCTAGGGATGAAGGGGAAGTGTACAAGATACTAATAACAGTACTATAAGTGGATTTTTAATGGTACTTAGTTAAACAAACATCCCTAGCTCATAATAGAAATGGGTTCCAAGTGGAACTTGACCATTATATTTTTTTAGCACTTTGACCTTTGCAATTTCTGTCTTATTCTCTTTTCTATAGAAAATTAACATTCTCAGCCAAAATCATGTGTCTTTTCCATGCATAAAGATGAAACTCAACATCAGCAAACTTCTTTCAAAAAGAAATAGGAGGAAAAACTCACCCTTCACTTCCTTAGATTAAAATAAAAAAAATACAGACTAATTTTCCTCAGGCTATTGTGCTTTTGAACATAAGTCAGCATACATGTTTAACGATGTTTAGCTAATCCATTTTAATTTTATGCTGCTTGAGTTAGTTCAATTTACTTTTCTTAGGTAGCTCTGTCAAGAGCTACTCCTAAAGTCCCTTCATTACCCACTCTGTATTTATGCAATTCTTTCTTCTTCCTTTAACAAGTGAGGGGTTTATGTCCAGCTTAAGAAAATACACTGCTCATTTTTGCATGGTCCTGCCAGAGGGAGGTTCAGTCATGGCCATGAGAGTATGCTGAACTGAAAGCATATCAGCAGATCTGTATAAACACCACTAATTAAGGTGATGAACATTTACTGGCAATAAATGACCCTATAATGTTGAATATGCTCCCTAGTGCCTGTTCCTTTTTTTTTTTTTTTTTTAAAGCATAATCATGTTACAGTAAAAATCAAGACTTGTATACAAATAACAGTTGATATTAACCCAGTCCTGAAGTATATGGCAGATCTAAGCATTTCAAATTTAAAGAACAAGAGGAAATTATGTGCTCTGTAAGAGAAGAAAAAGGCGTCTCTGTGCAGTGTATCCCTTGGGCAATGCCATGGTTTCTCAGCATACAGTTTCTGTCCTCCCCTTGCCCATATAGCAAAATAACCCAACCACTGGCTGGATAGTCCTGCCTAGGCATACATGAATAACTAACTCCATGATGGCAGGACAGACAGACAACTCACTTTTCCTCAGGTTTCAGCTTTCATTTTTAAAGAGTGAGCTTCTAGCTATCACAGTTAAGAAAAAATTGTAAAAGAAGCCTACTGCATGCAAGATCCCTCCCTGAGTTTGCACCAAGACTGCAACAAAAGTCCCAGTGGATGGACAGATGTATTTCCTTGCAGCTGGATGCCTTGGTGTGTCACTATTCACTATTGTATTAGTAAAGCTCTGTAAGACAGAATAAAAGAGAAGAAAACGAGTCTGTAACATCAGCCTAAATTGCACCCATGTCCTAAATGCAAGATGGGCTAACAGTGTTATAAAAGATTGAGCAGAGATACAGGGATTAGAAGACTGTGGAAGAGTCAATATGATATAGATTTAAGATACTTATTTTAATAGGTGACTAGGCTGAAACAAGGAAGTAGGAATTACCACATTCTTCAAATTCTTCATTCATCCAAAAGACTGCAGAGCAAGTTTATCTATTTATTTATATTTACATATAATATCTATCTATCTATCTGTTCAAGATTGGACAGGGCCTTGAGCAACCTGCTAATAGTGGAAGATGTCCTTGTTCACAGTAGGGTGGCTGCAGTACATGGATTTTAGAAGCCCCTTCCAACCCAGATCATTCCCTGACTCTATGAAACAGCTCTTTTTCTACTCTAACCTACATTTACTGCATGAAAGATGGTCTAGAGGACTTCAAGCGTACTTTGTTAACCTGTTTTCAAAAGCAAATCAAGTAAAGCTTCTCCCATGTTTACTGCTGACCTACCAAATGAAAGGCTACACCCATCTTTCCATCATGCTCCATCAGTTGCTTATAGGAATCAATTTGCACTAGCTTTGAGTTAAGTGCCCTTGAGTGTACAGTAACACATCTGCAGTGGATTTCATAAGCATAATGGCAGTGTTCCAGACACACAAACGGCATTAAAGTGCTCATGTCTGACACAGCACAAAGAATGGAGTACTACTGCTAATGGGGTAATTTGGGAGGGTGGAAAAGAGCAGAGAGAAAGAACTGCATTAAGAAAAAAATAATTAAGAGAATAAAGGTGAAATCTGGGTAAGAACAACAGAGTATGGGTTTTGAAGACCACACACAAGGCCAAAAACATATTTAATATCCTTTTTTCCTAACAAAAATGTTGATGTACAGGAAAAAAACTGAAAAGCTACAGGAAGGAAAAAAACACAAACACAGAGAAAAGGTAAGTAAAACATAAAAAGTGGCAACTGAGATGAAGATAAGACACAAAGTCAGGTAAGATACAGAGGGTCTATTCCGTCCAAAATAATGTGATTTGAGAGTCACCAACAGACCACATCACCTTAGGAAGAGCCAGTTTGGGCACTGGGAAGCCCAGGAGCCTTGGGCATGTCTGAGTAATCCCATTTGAGATCTGCTAATGCTTTTTTGCATTTTTTTTTAAGCTAGAGAAGTAGTATAGTAAGGAGGAAAAAAGCTTTATTTCCTGAGGTGTTGAAATATTTCAACTACCTTAACAAAGGCTCAGTAGAGGATCTAAGGCCCACACAAACAATGCTGCCCTGTATTGTCTTTTAACATTTTACTCCCATTTCTTCACCAGTGTTTCCGCTCTTGAAAAGGTACCCATGTAAGCTTAGCTATCACTAAGGAATATAAAATTAATATTTAAACAATTTTATATATTTCATAACTCTTCAAAGATCTGTGTGATGGTACTAATTCCCCCAGAAATGTGAAAATCCTGATTTTCAAGTGGGAAGGGAGATACTTTCATTTAAAGAAGTTTTGTTTCTATCAAGGATTTCATTTCCTCTGATCGCCTCACAGAAACACATTTTCTGTTTCAGCAGGGATGAGCTGGTATTGATTTTTACCCCTAGAACCTTTTAAGCCCTCCTCATAAAGATGACCTGATTGTTTTCCAACAAATCCTTTGTCCTCGTAATAATCTGTTTCCTATTTTTAGGCACATTTAAAATTATTTAAAAGCACAACACAATAAAATACTTCAGACTTGCCATTAGCTTGACTGAAATCCACTCACACCTTGTTCCTACTTCTTAACAGCTACAGAGTTAAACTAAATTATTAACTCCTGACATTACAGGCTCCAGTTCAAACCAGGAATTTAAAGCATGCATTTGATTATTTAGTGATGTTAATTTCTGGCTACACACACAAAAAAAAATCTGCTAGACTGAAGAATTCCCCAAGCCACCCTCCTCCAGAAAAGCAACGAGATACAGCATTAGAGCAGCAAGAGAGATTCTTATACTGCAGCTGTTGCCTGCATTACTTGTAAGTGGGGTTAAGCAAAATGCAGCTTAAAGCTCTGGAGAAACAACTTTCTTTAAATGCTAAGTATTTTAAAAAAACCTGAAAACCTTCAAGCAAGCAACATGAAATCAAAAACATGAACACTCTCTTTTTGGTTCCATCATTTTAACTCTAATGGCTGACATAATTTAACATAAGTGGCACTGGATTAAATCTATCCATGAAAACTGTCTTAGGTTTTAAAACAGAGTAAGTTGTGACTGCAATCCACCACCGAATCCTTCAATTACCAAAAAGGTTAAAAGATACTGCACTAACATACTACTGAAATATCATTTCCTACCTGAAAATATAGAAGGTCTTTTCTTAGTGCGCCTTGGGTGTATAGGGTCTATATTCCTAATATTTTTTTGAAACTTTCCTTTAAAATCATTTTCTAGCAGGATGTCTGGTGGCAGGCTTCTCCGTCTTGTTGATTTGTAACGAGTCTGATGGGGATTAAGTTTACTCTTAGTCCTGGAGTAGAAGCTGCTGTCATCGAGTGCCATGATGGAGCACCAAGTGTTAAACCCCAGCGCAAAGCCAGCCCCAACACCCAGAAGTGTCGGGACCAGTGGTTACAGACCGAGCAATCTCGGATGTCCTCATGCTCAACTCGCTCGTTGGGGAAGTTGAGCAGGTTGAGAGGCGTGTGCTGGGACAGGTGTAGAGTTACTGCATCGCCCCTCCTTGCATCAGTGAAACAGCACAGGGAGGAGGCAGGCTGAAATAATTAATTTAAAGTTTTGAGGTAATTAGTAAGTTCAGCAAACCTGAGCTCAGCAACACAATCTCTGCAAAGTGGAAAATACGATTTAATATGAGGCACTGTCTAGGGCTTGTATGGTTTATATTATACCCACAGCATTTCTCAGATCAGTTCATTAATAGTTCATTAACTTGGCAAGTTAAACAGGTGCTGCATAACCTTACAAAAAGAAAACAGTGTGAACAAAACTCAACAACCCAACCCACAAACAAACAAAAATAACACTCACAAAACAAACAAACAATGACAAAACAACAACCAAACAACCATCCAAATTCCAGATGCCAGCCTAGGCACCTGTCGGGAGAAAGGCACAAACAGTATGTCTGGGTTTTTTAGACCTGTCATTTCACAAACTTTCATTTTGAAGATTGATAAACAGTCCAAATCACGAAGGATTTTATAGCCACAACTATCAGTCTGGGGTTTCTTTCCTCAAGGAGCAATAATGTTATTTCCTTCTGAAGAAATATAAGATGTGATAGTGTGACTAATTTCTCTTTCTATGTAACTGCTGACTAATAAAAATAAGACATTTAAATACACGTATGGCAAAGATGGTCTGTAAAGTCTCCATTTAAATAAAACGCCAGGTACTTATTTTGTTTTGTTCCAGTTACCCCAATGAAATCTTTTGAGCCCCTCAAGGATGTGATCTTCCTTTTTCAAATGTTCAGAAATAAGACAAATTGAAACATTTTCTATGAGGTTTCTATTGAAACATTTACCTGCTAATTTTCTTACTGAATTCTACCATAAATGAGGCAAAATGAATTAAAGCTAACAAATCTTCTTTCATGCATTTTGGTGTTAAAAATCCAGCACTTAATATGGCAAAGTGAATAAGCAGAGTGGTAATTCAAAAGGAAAGTAAATAATGTTTCAACTGTGGATACCTAAGGAAAAGATATTTTAACACCTAAAGATAGAACTTGATTTCTTTGATTTTTTTTAAAAGCAATTAAACTAAAAATGCTTTAATTACTTTCCTAAAGCTAGGGTACACTGTAAGATTGGTGTAATAATTACAAGGTTGGCTGTTCCCAATATAATTTTTGTGTGAATTTCATGACAACCTTTTGTAATGTTATGGCTGAAAAAAGTTTATGGTTCATCTACATGTTTTTTGTAAGGGAAGAGGAGTAATTTTAGGTATGTGTGTATACATTATATATATATATATAAAGTGTGTAGCTTTTTAAGTATTTTATTGTGTTAGAAATGCAAAATAGTCTCCTAGATTCTGTCTTGTTCCTCTGGGAATTATATTGCATCGGGCTAAAAGCTGAATGGAAGGATCCAATCTTAAATAGATTGAATCAGAAATCATACCCTGTATTCAGAACAAACTGATCATTTAAACCAAATGAACATTAAATGTAAATAGCAAACCGACTAGTTCTGATTTTGCTGAGTATTTTAGGGATCATGAGTTCTTTTTACATGCGGAAATAAGGTTCTGAAAATTCTACTGGATTCCAAAAGAGGTTAAGTGGTAAGAATTTGGTTATAACCAAAGGGAACTGTGTGTCTAAATTGCTCAGTCACATATTAAAAATCTCTCTACATGCCAATCTTCATCATTAGGGACCAAAATACTTAATTCATGTCCTTCAGACCTGTATCATCTGTCAATCTCATCCTGTTTTTCCTAGTTAATTAAAAATCCCACTGAAAACAGATCCAAGTAAATTCTGTTTTATTTTATGTGCAGTAAGCCAGTTGTTATTATGACTGCATTAGAGCTGCCAGTCTCCTTTTCAGCTGAGGAAATATTTGTGCTTATCAACAGCAGATGTAAGAAAAGGCTTTTCTAAAAAGTGTTCTCCGTGTCTCACCTTGTGCGGGCTGACTCACAAAATCTGTTTATGGAAAATGAAAACCAACTCTGCAATGAGTTTCCTGTCTGGTTTCATAACTTCTGTATCAGAGTACACGGATTCACGGCCCTTCCCACCACGCCACACACACCAGAACAGAATGGTACCCCAAAGGAGGACAAGGCCTCCAAGCCATGTTGGAGGAACTGCAAAGGCATGAAGGGAAAGTTGAGCTTTACTAACATTTTAAACCAGCACAGTCTAATCAACCAAACCTCATCCTTCTCACCTGTGGCCCATGGAGCTTCTCTCCCTTGTTGCATTAGAACCCATTTTGTGATGTTGCACAGCAAACTATGGCACAAACCTCGGTTACCTTTTGTTTATTTATTTATTTGTAATCATGCTGCCACAAAGGACAAAAAGACAAGAGTAAGCATCCAGGACAGGGATGTATGAATTGTTTCTTTTAGTGACTGTGCCAGGTTAGAAAATTTTGAGTGTTACCCCTTAAAATATTTGTAAAAATAAGGCTAAAAAGGCAATCCTCAGGCTACTTATTTATGCATTTTACAGGTGTCAGACATTTAAAGAAATGAAGTTGTTACCAATCAAGTTGAATATTCCTGGGTACCTGCTTGCTGAGGAGACTGTTAAAAAGTACACATAAATCTCGCAACCCAATCTTGTTATTTTATTCCCTGTAAGCACTTACTACCCAGGTCTCACACCTTGTACATAGCAGAACAGTCATAGACCTCAGAAGTTATCTATGCTATGAAGTCTCTAACTTATTTTGCTTTGCATTTCAAACAGAAAAGTTAAAAAACAAAGGAAGAGAAAACGAGGTATCAAAAACAAGGAATGAGGAAAATATACAGCTGTTCAAATCTTCTAACTGTTGCTCAAAAAAGTATTAATTTAATTTTCTGGAATATTCTGGTTGTCTTAATTCAGAGGATGTGAATTTCTGACATGTTCCCTGCTTTAATTAACCTATTTCTTCCAGTTTAACGTTGTTAGAAGCAGAGTCTAGACTAAGCATCCAAAAAATCTCTCTTCAGTCAAGCATCGTTTTTCCGAAGTGAGTATAAGAGGAAAAAGTCAGCAAATAATCAGTCATGGTCATAGTCTTTAAGAAAGCAAAAAGATCACTTCAGGTTCACATTATCTTCTACCCTGTAGAAAAAACTGGCTCACAGAATTGTGCAAATAGGACTTAGTTGCCAGGCTACACCTGACCTTTGAGAAGCTAAATAAGAGTACTAGAAGTTCATCGTATCATGCACTATATTTATGGTTTTAACTTGCGGTAGATAACTTAACACTGAATTACAGCCTCAGAAAAAAGAAGTAGGCTTTCAGCCCAGATGATTCTTCAAATTATCAAATACTAACAGATAAAACATGAAACAAAGAACAGAGCTTTTACAGAGTAGCCTTCTGTGCTGGAATGTTGGTTTTAATAGATGAATATTGATAAGAGGTTTGGCTGAGTATTTCAAATGCATTGTCCTTCAGCTGAAAGAAGATAAGCACCTTTAATTTCAGTCATATTCTTGTCTGCTAACAACAAACAAAATATATATTTAAAGCTGTAAAAAAAAAGCTGTACTGCTAGTCCTTTACTGTTTGATCTATAATGTTCATGTCCCCTATTAAAACAGGAAGCTGATTTCAATCACAATATTTCATAGGCAGAACAATTCACGTGCAAATGTCCATTTGTAATAATTTCACTTCACCCTGATGTTCTCATTACACGATAGCTGTCGCAGCCTTATTTTCATGAGGACTCGAAAGTCAATCCTTCTCCAACAGAAAAGCAGTGCAAACCCAGGAAACAGGCATTTTCTGGCAGGGCAGAGGGAAGAGGCACAGCACAAGCACCCAACTAGGTGACAGGGCTCCTCACAGATGGCCTCAGAGCTGTCAGCACACGTGGCTTTGCCCAAGTGGCAGCAGCTGGACATTTTCCAAAGATCACAGGCTGAGGGTGGAACTTGCCAGAATCTGCACAGTGGTAACACTGGCAATCACAAAATCATGCCTGATATTATTCCTCTGCAACCTGGGACATGAAGCCTATGCTCTGGGTACAGTGGAAAGAGAAAGACCTGAGGCTCTGAGGGAATTTTACTCAGTATGAGGTAGCATTAGTCCTGAATAAACAAGGCAGATGGTTTTCCTCTTGTCTTCTATGTTTAAAGTGAATACTGTGAGCAAACTATGCATATGAAGGTTACAGATTTCAGAGACAATTTTCTATTTGAAACCACTTCTGAGTGTTCCATATTCTACATAAAATAAATTGTGTTAGCACTTATGTGAAAGAATATAACAGCATGTCACCTTCTGTAAAAAAAAAAAGTGTTACAAATATAGAGGAAAAAAAAATCACCATGTATGGAACTTGAAAGTACTTCTTAGAGAGGATCACTATCTCAAGTGCAAGAGCAATCAATATGAAAATGAAGGCGCTCCACTTAAGGCCAGAGCTCTAGAAACACCAGAATACATCCCAAACAACTCTAAATGTCTGACTGTTGCACAACCCCAACCTGAGTTTCACCTTTTGCTACAGGAGTCAGCAGTACACAAGAATCTTTGTGACACTGCTACAGCATCATAAAGGAGGATGTGTAAATTATCTTCAAAACCTCCAGTTACAGAAACAAAAATCCTACAGCTGAACATTTTTCCATCTTTAATTGTACAATATTAACCTTCAGTACTTTTCTTATAAATACTTATTTTGCATTAGAACAGTATTAATAAGAACTTCTTATTGCATCTAACACTGACAGTAGGATTCATCAGTTGTAATATAATTTCCTCCCCCCACACACACCCACCATACTTAGAGATAAAAAATGACAACCAGCAGGCATGTGAGAAGGAGTGGGAAATGGAAAGGATGTGAGGGAACTCGGGGTCTCCAAACCACAGGAAGCAGTGGCCAACGGCAAGTAACTGACACACAGCGTTGCCACAGAGCAACAGCGGGCACTGCTTGGCAAGCACAAGCAGGGCCTGAGCCCCTAAAGCAAACTTTATGGGAAGTGAAAAATTCTAAGTGCTTCAAGACTGAAAAGGAGAAAAATCCACAAAAACATGAAAAGAAGAGTAAGAGATGCACAGATTTACTTAGAGTCAGAGATATTTTCAGGTACTCTTTCATCCACCTTGTTTACTAGAGATGTTTGAGAACCTAACTAGTTAAAGAGCATCACCATTTTAAACAATGACATTAAACCGCCAAATTTTACTGACTGTTTTCTTTGACTTCTTGAAGAATCAGCTGCATGACAAGGTGGCTTCCAAATCATGCCTGAAACTGAAAATTATTCCTAGACAGAACTAGAAAAATATCATATTCTATTACCCTGACATAAATATGACAATTTGCATAGCCTGCATGACAATGCTAGACTTAAGGCAGTGTGCCTGTGCCTTTTATATATAAATATATAGATATTTAACATGTCTAGTAAAACCTTACCTATATATATACTGTTTATTCAATTTCTACATTAACATTCATATTAAGACCTAGGGAACACAGTTACAATTAATACAAACAAAAAAAGAGAAAATTAGAAAAAACATTTTAAAATTTGATGGCATTATTTGTCACTCTGTACAGGCCTGAGATAACTACAATTTAGACTAATCTGACAATTAATTTGCAAGAATAACAGTGAATGCATTCAAAACAGTGTTGGCAGAAGAGGGTAGTCGTGTCCCCTTTGCAAGCCCCCTAAATACAGTCAAAATGATAAGAGAGATCATGTGCTGAACAAATGCTCCCTTAGGGGTTGTGCTGCTCAAAGTGCTGCAGTGGCCCAAGGCTTTCCAGATAAAGACCAAATACACAGATATACATACACACACCCTATTGTATGCCATGGAAATCAGAAACAAAGATCATTCTTGCAACAACACAATAGAAAAGGGGAGTTACTTTTCTGAATGTCAGCTGTGCAACTGCTAAATTTTAAACTAAGACAACACAAACCTGTTTTGAGTAGTAACACAAATGAAAACAACTGAGAAAAACACAGCATTAGTGTAAAATGAAACCGTGCAATAACCTAGTTCAAGTCAGACTGCAGCAAGTACAAATTTTGAGACAACTGTTTCCCAATGACTGTGAAAATTTAATCCACGCAAGTATCAGTCTGTCAAGAAAAGGAAACACCCTTCACTCCTTAATGTCTTCTACTGTTACCTTTATACAGGGCTCCGGAATTTATTTGACCCAAAGTTAATGAGGAGCTTAGTTAAAGAGAAAAAAGCCTGCCAAGAGAGATAAACCCTGAAACACTCCCAAAACTTAGTGAGACTCGCACTGAACTTTTCCAGTAATTCATTCCACAGTCCAGGAAGGTGCATGAAACACCGCCATCTTCATGTCTCTTCCAAGTTCAGCTCCAGGCTTTCTAACCCTGAAATAAAGATGGGCAGCCAAATATCAAGGAACAATATATTTTATAGCTGGAATCTTGGAGAATTAAGGGCTTTTAGACTCAGGATGATAATCCTGAAATTAATCCAGATTCCAAGACACCGAAACATATAGTTTGGATAAACAATAGTTTCCTGCCATTTCAGATTAGTGAGGAAGAAGAGGAATGTGAAGAACTAATGTCTGCGATAGCACAGAACACCATGATTTGGCTTATCTCTGAGAAGTCAAGTTGTTACCAGTCTCTAGAACAGGAAAACACATTCTTGAAGCCTTCTGCAATTGTGCAAACATCCAATAAAAAGTAGAAATACTGTAGAAATTAATTATTTTCAGGGAGACACATATCAGTAAAGCAAGTCCTTCAGTCAGTTTGTGTTAAGAGTCCCTACCCTTACCTTTCTGTAGTTAAGCACTGCTGTCATGTTAGCACCATAAATTTAGCTAAGCGACTGCACCGAGAACATATTACTGGTATGGGAGTGAAAAAGTACCAGGGCAAGGCTCAGACCTACCCATGGCACTTTGCACGGCTGGTCATACAATTTCTATCTTTCTTAGGTGAAGAGAATCATTTGGGGGCTATCTTTCCAAGTCTTGACTCTAAACAGCAAGTATTAGGGCAACAGCTCTTTCAGCATAGTGTGCAAATGTAACAAATCATTTTGGAGAGGGTGAAAAGCAATAAGGGGTCCAAGGGAACCTAAAAGACCTGAGATTCCCTTGGCTCCTACACAGATTGGAAGCACATGGAGAAATGGGTGAAATTCAGATCACATTTAAGCAGAAATGAGATTTCCAGATATGTTTCTTTAGTCTAACAAGCAGCACACATCTTGCATGGGGAAGAATACAGCACAGGAACACAAAAAACCAAGATATCAGGGTAAATGAGGATCTGACCAGCTGCATACAGAAGGCTGCAGTTTTTCCTGCTAGCTGAAGACAGGCTTTTGGAAAGTACTGGGGACTCCTATGAACTAAATTCACATATGACTATCAGGGTCTAATACTGATTTAACTTGATTCTTAACTAATGTCTCACCAATTTTAGACACCCTGCAAAATAGCAGAACTGCTGAGGATACTTACCTCATTTTATTATACATCATCCAAATGCTAAAAAAAGGGAAAATAATAGGAAAAAGCTTTGAAACTGTAGAACTCTTAACTCTCACATAGAGCTAAAACTCAATTATCAAGTGAAGATTTGAGAGACAGGTTTTTTAAAAGTACTGTATATAGTCTTTAAGTTATACAATGTAAATTTAAAGAGGAGAAGTATTCAGATGTCTTAGAAAAATACAACATATCCACAGCTCGCTCAAGGAGGCCGTAATACCTTCCAGAGAAGTAAGATGCCTGTCAGTCATAGGAAGATTCAGACCTACCACTCACAATATTCAGAGGCCTCATTTACACTATCTTGCCTTCCCCTGCAGAGCATCATGCATTTCCCCCACATAGCTGCACACATTCAAAGATTAAGCTGCCAAAGTCTAAACCCCATCTGTAGTTAACAGAGATGTACCTCTGCAAGGCACATCGACCTGAGGAGAGGGGAAATTGTCTTTTCTCCTTAACTGCAGCCTTTTACTGAGACTTACAGATGCTCACCCTTTGAGTTCTCACACAGGTTAGATGAGAGGAAAGCCACACCAAGATCTTCTGCACTACTGTAATTACTACAGTAATTTTAAATGAAGTACAATACACTAAAAAGAATTTTATTCCACTAGCAGAGTAGCTCTGCTGGGGAAAGCTCAGAATTGAGAGCAGAGTTGCCAAGACTGATAAATTTTATCTGCCCTAAGCAGGCCTTCATCTCACATTACTCATTTTCTCCTAATTTGTTCATACAATTCCAAAGCTTTATGTATGATTATTTTAATTGGGAATGGCAAACTAATGGGCTGAACTTTCTTTGATGGTTAGAGTGTTGTATAAAGAGATGCATGGAGTGAAAGTAAATAATTCAAAGGGGTTTTATCTTCCAGTATCTAAGGCAATGCTGAAGAAACAGTAAAACATATAATAATGAGATTCCTACAGTATTTTTCACTGCAATTTTGGATGATTCTATTTAGGTATCAAATTTATTTGAAGTTGGGAACTGAAAACTTTCTATCTTATGATATAACTCTAAATAATGGCACCACTAGATTGAAAATATCCTCCTGTCAAATCCTTTAAGGAAGGTGTCTAGCAGCAGATTTTTGCTGCTACTAGCTTGAAATTGTACCAAAATTGGAAAACTTGATTTGCTATTGTACATCAACCCCCACATTAGCCAGTGTATGTGTGTATGTGCATATCTGTGTGAAAGTATGTACAAAAACACACTGAAAAATAAATCCAAGTCTGCAGCCTAAGCTAAAATTTTTCAGCTTGCTTTCTGGAAACAGAGAAAGTAGGTCAGCACGTATTCCAAAATAGCATATCAGCACTGAAATAAAAAGTAGCATATCTGTACCTTTGGATTTTTAGCTCATCTCTCTGAAGGGGGAAATGAAGGATGAGACTTTTTCTTATTCTACTGTATGAGAAAAAATCTCTTCTACTTAAAAAAGCCCCCAAATAAGCCACCTACATGGGTAAAATGTTGTCTCTTTTAATCAAAGCAAAACAACATTGAGTGGAACCATTTAAGCTTTATCTAAATATAACCAAAGGAAAAGCCAGGATGTTTAAAATGTGTTTAAAATGTTGTACTGGATATGTATCACATCCTGTTCCTTGCGTATCTTGTTCCATGTATCAAAAATCTATTTGGTAAAATATTTACTTTGGAAATAACAGCATACTGTCTGTGATTTTGCTGTTCATCTTGTGGGGTTTTTTTTTTTGTTTGCTTTGTTTTTTGTTTTTTTTTTAAATATTTGCTGTTGCAATAGGAATTGCTGCATATTTTGTGATATCTTTCATTCTAAGCACACTGTTAAAGAAAAGTATTTTCTTTTATTTATTCCCCTCCCCACCCACTCTCATTTTTAAGAATCCAAAAAGCTAAAGCAGAAACCAAATTACTTAAGCACTCACACATCTAAGCTATAGAGATTCTTAAGAATTCTTCTGGAATTAATATTGAAAAACTCCTGTCCTAATAATAATAATAATAAACTATTATATTAACAGTTCCTTAATATGAAAGAAAAACCAAAATCCACTCTTAGGCAATATTAAATAATGCTTATCAGCTCTAAAATATCACCTGATTCAAGTCAGTATCAATATTGTTGGCTTCAATATGATGCATGATGCTGATCTGTTTCCCAGAACAGATTTCAAGCTGAAACACTGATATATTTAATTAGGACAGAATTATATTGCCTCCCTCAAATTCCAAGTGTCAGCCTTCATTTGGATCTCTGCACTAGATTAAAATGAATGCTTGAAAGGTACTGAGCATTGGTAGCATGACCTTTTAAGTTCAGTGATTTCTATGCAACCAGCAGGAATGCCTAAAAATAACAAAACAAGTCTATTTTTAGTTTTTCATTCTCTAGGGCTTTTTTCCTTGCTTTATTTTTTAAAACTACTGCTATGTTTTTGTTCCATCTCAATTCTTGGACACTTAGCTCTCATTTATTTTCCTGTATTAGTCCAGTCAGACCTGTTTAAATATCTCATTCTCCAGTCTGTGAAGTACTGTAATCCATGCACATATGTACATCATTTAGGCAGTTAGAGAATTGGATCTTCCATAGTGCCAGGCCTCCCAAGAAGGGAAATCAAAATGGTGAACAACTTCCTGAACTTACAGCTGCTGGGATCTGCAATTTTCTTTGACACTTAGTAAACCAATGCTTGCTATCACAACTTAGGTAAAAATCAGGACCTTCCTAGGTAACACAGGCTTCACAACTAGCTGAGTGAAGAAATTAAGGAGTTTTTCAAACTCTGATAAAGGAAGTCAAAGTATTTAAAAAAAAAAAAAAAAAAAAGGTTGAACTTTTATGTCCTGTGATGTCTCCACCTTGCAAAATTTTAAAACTCTAGCCTAGCAAACAAAGTGCATAATTACACACGATTAATTGCATTCCTAGATTACTGCCAGATAGCTTGTCACATGCCTTGCTGGGTCTAAATACAGTTTTAATTTGTTACTTCTGAAAGCCAAAGCCACAGAACTAATTGAGCTCACTCTACAGCTGGACAGATATACGATTAAAAAATCATCAGAGCAAATAAAACAAATAGCATACATTTAGAGTGAAGTATTAAAATAAATAAAGGAAAGAAAGGCAGTTGTATTTATGAGTAGCAACAGATATGATCTCTCCTCTCTCTAGCACTCTCTTGTTGAGGCCAGCACTGACATCCTCCAAAACCTGAGAGATCTATGGGAAGGTAATAGGTCACACATTCATCAGACTTCAGTACTGCTAATTTTTCTGACATGCAACCAGTGTGATTAAAAAAACAACACTGCTCTAGTTAAATGGAACTAAATCAGTCCCTCAGTTCCTTGGGAGTTTAGAAAAACTGTAAAAGAAATTTCACAATAGTTCATTGTTCCATTCATCTCCCTTTAGAAAATATAAGCCCACAAATACGTTTGCATATTCACACAGTTCTGTCTCTGAGTTCAAGGATGCTTACAAGACACCTGCTAATATGCCAAATTTGTATTCATTGGAGTGGGAAGCCTGCTGCCATGAGATACCATTTCCACTCAGAAGCCATTAGCTTAACTGCTGAGAGGTTGTGTCTTCTCAAGCTGCTTCACGAAGGAGAAACGTTAGTATAACCAGTTCTCTGAAGGCACAGTAAAATGGGCGAACTGATCCCAAAGTTGTCAGATCTAGTGTTTTCTGAGCTTGCTTAAAAAGTTGCAATGTAGTCTAGGAAACAGCTCTTGCATTTCCCAGCTTACCAGCCTGTTATTCCAATAGTTATACTTTTCCAGAGCAGAGCCACCAGGCACCCCTTCCCTGCTGGCCCACGTGGTGCAATGATAGGTGCTCAATCTCGTGTCTGGAGCACTGGGCGTTGTGCTCTGGACTCCTGGGGCTGCACTGCTCTACAAGAGGTAGACGTCTCCCTTACACCCTTCAGTGACTGTCATGGGAATTTCCTCTTGTTCCAACAATGCAACCAGGTCGAAACTGGACATGCTGCTGTGAAGATGTGTCCTAGAGCCCCACCTCAAGCCAAAGCCAACTTACAGACTCGGCCAGTTGGAGCTCTTTTCATGTCAGCTGCAAGATACACATTCTGGTGCACAGAACAGCTTATCTCTAGGCAATGAAAATCACCATATTCACAGTGATTATAAACGTCCAGAATACATATCTCACATTTACACATCACTGTGCTCTACAGCATAAATGCATCCTTTTACTTGTTTTGATCTGCACAGTCTTGGATAAAAACCACATTTCATTAAAATAAAATAAGCACTGAATAATAAATGGCTTTATAATAATTGTCCCAATGTACTGAAAACCATCATCCAAAAATCTAGGAAAGCAGAAACAGAAATATCTGTATTTAAGTAATCAACAAAGAAAATAACATAACTATTCGATTGAAAAGGCTGTGACCCTGTCAAGAGTCTTTATAGTACTGCTCTTTAAAAGCAAAAGGAAATATTTAAGTCCCCACTGGAGTAGAACTGGGAGCACTATAGAAGCCAGCACCCCAGAAGAAATTCTGCTAACAATATAATCTGATGTGGCTTATAGCTGATTACACAGCAAAATTAATTGTCTCCAAGAAATCTTACTTTTATGACAGAAGGACTAAATACAGCCTAACAGTAGTTTAAAACCAATGCATCCTTCTTTCTAGTAGGAAAAGAAAGGCTTTGTTTTGTTCAAAAGGACATTGATGTAATCATGTTGCTGTATATTTTTCCCCTGGCTCCTTGATATATAAATGCATGGCAGCAATTGCAGCTACTTTATATCCTTTAACTAGTACATGTGCAAAATGTTTGTTCGTCTGTTTTCCAGCAATGCATCAGCATTTACAAAATTCCAACTCTTTGCTATACGGAATTTCAGCCCCAGGAAGGCTTTAACTAAACACTTGCACTGTATCAGATTAGTTAAAAGCCACAAGTTTCTTCAGCTCCTGGTAATGGCTTGCCAGCTTTCAACAATATTAAGACAAAGAATCCACAAATATTCGTAGTAAAGTATGTACAGTCTCATGTCACATGTGATGGACTTAATACTGCTTTGAAATTCATATTTAAAGTCAGGCCGTAAGAACCCAAAATTTGTCATTGCCAAATATTTAAATTTATGCTCACAATCTTTTTCACTAAGAACCACATTTACATGAGCTTCCAAATACCAATCTGTGTATTTTATATTCCTCACACCTATGCAAAAGACTTTTAACTATTTCCTAAAAATTTTAGAATAGTTGCCAAATCTATTCAATAAAGAAATGTATTAATACATTTAGAATTTACTATCAGTCTTACCAGAAAAATCTCATGTAAATCCATAATGACTGGATAATTAATGCAAAATCTTACCTTTCCCTGAAGCAACAGTTTCCAGCAGTGATCTTTCTTAACACTTTAATTCTGCAATTTTCATAGATAGTTTTCTAGTTCAGGCAGAGATGGGTTAACTGCAAGCAGTCTGGATGCTATCTTGCTTGCTTCCTGGAGATCACTGTTTTGCTTTGTGAGCCATCACAACTACCTAGGAAAAATAACAGCCAACCCTCAGTCACCTGGCCAATGTGATATATTACCGCCCCCAGATTAAACAAAATGTTTAAAAGAAATACATGTCTTAAAACAAGATGTTAACATTTGTATTTATCTACCAAACATTTCATAACAGATGCTGTTAAAAGAATTATTGCATGCCTTCCTACCAGGAGTTCATGTTCTTGGATAGAGACATAAAACAAGCGGGAAAAAATTATATATCAATGTCGTAAATCTTTTAAATTACAACTTGTCTTTACACTGACAGTATGAACTATAAACTAGACTTTAAACTAGACTCTTTTTTTGTAGATTTTTGGTCAGAAGCTACAAGCAACAGCAAAAACTGACTTATATTGTTAATTCCTTAGGCAGAAGCAAACAGAATGGAACCTATGGAAGAAAAAAAATGGTGCTGAAAGGTAGGAACGCACTTTGGAATCTATTTGGGTATAACTGCAAGGTACTTATTAGAACAGGAAACACTATATTCCCGTTTTGTGCAAATACATGTGGCTGCCAAAAGGCTCTGAAGCTGAGACTACCACCTGCAGAACCATTGGCAGCAGATGCAGATACCACACTTTGCAGAAAGAGCACCATCCCATGATGGGCATGCCCTGAGGCCCAGAATGCTGAATTACCAAATCCAAGGTGAATCTCATTACTGTGAGGGCAGTTTGAATATTCTCTGTGAGCTCGAGTAGCGATGATGCTATGTAGATCTGTGACATGAGCAAGACACCTTGTCTGCTCCCTTGAACATGGAGTGCAGTTACACAGGACATTGTCCAACCAAAACACTGAATACCTCCAAGGACAGAGACACACTCCTCTGGACAGCCACAATGCTGTCAGAGCAGCCTCTTGAACAGTGTATCTCCACCTGAATAATCCAGATCCATGGCAGAAAATAGGACAGTCCATCTCCCCTTTGATTTGTTCAGCTCCACAAAATGTTTGACAGAGCATGTAATTAGAAGATCTACTGAGCTGATATTAACAAATGATACTGAGTAGCTGACTATCTCATATGGGGGTGTTTTACAACCTGTCTCCTCTCCCCACCCTTGCGCTGACAACAGGAACCACCCTTGCCACTTCAGCATGCATTATTAAAGGGGTTGCACATCTTGATTTCTCTCTTCAGTGCCTTTATCCTTCTGGATAGCCCTTTGCAGCTGATGTCTATAAAAACACAGTAGTACCTCTGTCCACACTTAAATTAGCACTACTCTAAGTCTGAATAATTCTCTTCTATCATGTTTATCAGGTTTCCTGAACATTAGGAGTATCAAACTGTGGCATCTGAGTAAAGTCTCTCAGAGAGACAGGGCAGTCACAGCTCAGATCTGCTCCTTCAAAATTTCTGCGGATCTGGGTATTTTTTTTTCTATGTTATACTCCAGATGTGTTTTAAAGATAAGGCTCCATTGTTTAGATGCTTTTTGGCTTTATAATATAGGGATGACAGACCATAGATCTGACAGGTTACTGAAACAATCCTATTTTCATCTCCCTGCTGAGAAGTGAGATGCTGTCAGAGACATACAAGACTTTTGGTCAAAAATGGGTTATCAAGTTTTAAAATCATAAAAAGAAATCTCAATTAAATTGAATACTTCAGGTTATCACCATCAGTACAAGAGAGCAGACTTAGGCATCATACATCACATCTGTGCACTGAGGAGAGACAGCATGTTAGAAGTAATCACCTACTTATGCATATCCCTGTGACAAATTGCACTTTTCAGTCTCTGGTAACCTGAAGCCATTATCCTGTGCTATTGTGGAGGAGAATGGCCAGGAGGAGAGGGAGGAAGAGCTTTCCATACCAGACTCTGTGTAATACAGTCTAATTACTGACTTTCATGGACACTACTTCAAAGAACAGGGACAACCTGAAACAAGCAGTCACAAACCAAACATTACAACCCTTTGCAGATATGCCACCTTTTCAGTCCAGTGTACAAAGGACACAGTCTCCTCTACAAACTGAGGGAAACCAGACCCTGAACAAGAATAAAAATGAGGAACCTGAAATAGAGTACAGTACGGTTAACTGTGAAGTGTTGCACAGTGATTTATCATATGCTATCCAACTTTTTATTCATCCTCCTTGAAAAATTCCATTGTAAGTATCCTATTTCCACCCAGGTATTATTTACACCAAACCATGACTTTCATAGACCTGTGGTTTGCTACATCTGCATCATTATATAATATATATACAATAATACGTGTACACAAGTCACAGAAATAATTGATACGTCCACAGCCTTTTCTTCTGAAAAAGGAGAATTTTTATTTGTATCTTTTTTAGCCGTAAAGGAAATTTTAAAATGCCTAAGCAGCTACACATTATTATTGTAAATATTATTGTTAAACGTGCATTCCTGAAACAATCTTCATAACGTATAATAATCTTTATAAGCATCAAAATTATGAAAACAGATGAACAACAAAAAAAAAGGCAGTAACTTCACAGCTGTACAGTAAGACATACCAAATAAAAGGTTTGTCAAAATGCACCTTGCTCTCCAGAAACCAACAAAAAGGAGTGAAGGTAAGAGCTGCATCACTCCAGCACCCTCTGTTGGCCTTCAGGCAGCACGGTACTCTGTGCACTCGTAATAAAATCAGTTGTTGGATCCCAAAGCTACAACAAAGATTCCTTTACAGAAATAAATACATAAAAAGCAAACAGAAACCTACTGTGCAACCCGGTCCTATGCAAAAAATCTTCAGCTATATACCACAACATAGTTTAATATCAGATTACTCAGTATAGCTGGATTTGTCATGAATTAGCCCATCTTTGCAGATACTTATAATTGATCTAATTTCAAGGGCAAAATCTTCTTTATGAGCCCTGTCTGTGTCTGATTATTCTGACAAACACCAATAATAAATGGCACCCTGCATGCAGCTCTCACCAATAGAAATAACAGCTCTACAGAAAGAACAATTCTTTCTATGGAACATTATTCACTGTGGCTGCCGAGAACTAACAATGCATACATTATGCAGAATATCATCCACAAAAGAAAGTGCCCCAACCAGGTCTCATCAAGCACACAGAATAAAGTCCAGATGCCAGATACAAGGTGATCTAAATATAAACTCCATACACTGTGCACAGACAGATGGTGTAATTTCCAGAAGCAAAGGCCCTTAGCCCAGCGAGCTTGGCAGCTGCTTCGCAAAGCCGGCTCAGAGCTTTGCTAAGGCAGATGTGAAGTTGCAGTGGGTAGCAGAGAGGAAGAGGAAGGAGGAAGCAGGAGGGCTGAGATGCAGAAGCGGCTGTGCTCCCATGGTGCTGGGGGAGGTAGGGGTGGTATAGCTGCTTCCGAGAAAAACCACCCAGGGTGGTTATTGGGGCTGCCTGGTCCTTTCTGGCCCCTCAGTGTGTGAGAACAGGGGAGAGCAGCCCATGCCTGGCTGTGCAGCAAGAGGCAAAGATCTGCTGCCTGGCCATCTCACAGTCCTTGAACCACCACTCAAGAAGAGCCACAAGCAGAGGGGAGGCAGGACACAACTAGATCTTACGGAGCTGTCTGTCTGCTTCCACCAGCTGAGCGGCTGAGTAACTGCCCACTTTATCTCCCTACGGCAAAGCCAACACTGGCCAGAGCCCAAGAAAACAACAAAAGAGCTTTTCTTCGCTGATCTTAATGACAAGGAATAATGTATTCTCAAAAATGTCATCAGCTATTGCAAACCTGCTCCTTTCACTGCCTCTTAACCTCTCTACAGTTTTGTGTCATAGTTTTGTTTTCACAGTATTTTGTCTGCTCACCTGAAATTCATAGCCACTGCCTCACCACCCTTCCAGGCTCTGCTCTCTGCTTCTCTTCTTTCCCACATGCAGCTTCATATGAATATCTCCTAATATTTCAGTGTTTATCAACTTTAAGATGGTGCTAATAAACAATGATCCGTTTGATAACAATCTCCAGAACACGCAGAAATGCATACAAACTTTTTACCAAACAAATCTGTAGGACTATTTGTCAGAAAGCATTACTACCCTATTTCAAATATTTACACGCATGCTTCTACTTTGAGTAATTTATACTATACCACTTCACTGGGATGGAGAGATCAGTTTGATTTGGAATGTCAAGATATGAATTATTAGAGTGAAATATTTATTGCACAGAACAAACTAGAAACTATCTCACAAAATCTATGCAGTTCACTCGAGGTCACTGACTAACCAGTCCAAGAAGCCAGAGGTGAACCCAGACTGAATCCACATACCCAAACCTCAAAACTGAAAAAAAACCCCAATAGAGCTCTTGCATTTTCCACTTTCAGGAGCTGCTATTCTGACAGTTATTTTCAGGCATTTATATTCTTGCTTTACACTAGTTTCTGTTGGCAGATTTCTTTCTCTTTATCTGTTTTGTTTTTTTAAAACAAATTCGATGCTTCATTTTTTCCATGTTTAAAAGGTCTGGATCCAAACAGTAAATGGTAGGAGTTACTTCCTTTAGGACTTGGCTGTCATTAGGTGGCTGATTAGGGCTGTAGCAGCCTGCTCAGTAACAGGTTACTTATGCAACCACGTTCGACTGCCTAGCAACCCTAAGGGTGGGGTCCAAAACAGCAACTGCACCAGTCACATTTTGCAACTAAAGGTGGAGGAATAAAAATAAAAAGAGAGAAAGGAACGGGAAGTGCAAGGGGAAATAAGCACTTTTTTCACGAGAAATGTACCTTTCTAAGAAAAGAAGGCAACGAACAACACAGAAGAACGAATCAAAAGCAGCTAAACTATTTCTCACTCAGAGTGGTAATTAGTTCTGAGATCATAATATGATAATGATTCTTAAGAGAAATAATTCATGCAGAGAACATGTTAATCCCTGCAAAAGATCATGTAAATACTTTGCCATTCTTGAACTAATCTTCCCTTTCCACTGAATGCTGGAAAAAATATTCACTTACAATAAAATCCTGTTAAAAATGTTCCTGGTTAAATAGTTCAGTATGTTGAATACTTACAGAGAAAGGTTCAGTACCAGTATTTTTGTGTCAAGATGTTAAATTTTTTTTAAAAAGTCAAGGGAAACATTAAAGATACTGTTGAAAATTTTAGGAATAAAATTTACTAATAATTTGATTTACTAAGTTTGTGCTGGTCAACAATAGGCATAATTACAGGCTAAAATACATTATTTTGAAAGTTTATAAATAAGCATTCTGTGAAAAAAATCAATGAAACCAGTACTTCAAAGAGTAGTGTATGAAAAAAAAACCCCAAATTAAAAAACCCACAAAACTACCCAAAACTATTTAGGTACACAAAATAGTATCACTTTTGTGTTCATAAAAAATTGTTCCAGTTAATGATTTTCCCACCCTCCACAAATTCAAAGTCTTTCTCTATTTGGCCAGGAACTGATTATGTATCACAGAGACAATAAGCTTGGCTGGGGATGTTGACCACTTGTATTCATGTAAAAGTTACATTTTTCACTTTTTAACTATTTATGCAGAGGGGAGAAGCGCACCTTCCGAGCAGCAGGGATGCACTCAGCCAGCCTGTGGAGTGCAACGCTACCACCAGGAACATCTGTGCTTGCTTTGGGGCAGCTGCACAATCTAAAGCCTTTAGTCTGGGGGCTGGAAGGAGCAGAGCTCTATCAGTTGCCCACATCCACCCAAATAACTCCTCTTCTGAGTGTTTGGTTTGGCCTGGCCAGGCCTGGGCAGCATACAGCTCTGAACTGGTGCAAAAAGCTCAGAAAGGCAACGTGACGATTTCTTCTGGTCCAGCTCACACTGCACATGCAGCTCTGGCGCTCGTGCTTTCCCCTCCTACTCTCACAGACAACTGGTACTGCTCTTCATTTATACTTATAAGTGTATGTATATATATACATATACACACACTATATATATTTTATTATAACTCTCATCCCAACACAATGTCTCTTACACAGGAGCCTTCTCAGGTAACGATGTTGCTTCACACAGTAAGTAAATGCTAATTTAGTATGAACTACTCATTTAGTAAATAGACTAAATGAAGAGTTGAGATGCATCATTCATGCTGTGAAACAGATTTGTAAACATACCAGCAGGAAGGCACTATTCTCTGATGTGTTATTACAAAGTCTCTAGAGCCCAACTTGGCAGACTGTTTTGTACCAATCATATATAAGATAACGTGCTTCTTTAACATTTACCTAATTAGTGACAAAGCACTCACCTTACTGTACACCCTATCACCACATTGATAAATACTTTGAGAGTTAGCACCAGTAAATACCATCCCATTCTAAACTCTCATGACTATTTCATAAGAGAATGTTTCAAAACCCAACAGTTCTAGATACATTTCACCTCAAAACTGCCTGTCACTCCTGAATAACTTGCATTTGTCAAGGAGTTAAGAAGTAAAAAGGACCAAATCAGACAGTATTCTAAAAAAAGTCCTAATGTCTGTGGTAGAAGATTAAACAAAATATTAAAAAAACCCAAAACAACCCAACCCTCCTTCTATTTCACTATTTATATTTTAATTTTCATTGGGAAAACTTGAGCACAGCCAACACAAGAGACCTAGTGGGACAGAAAAAAGTGCAGGATGACAGAATCTGATTTTCCAGCATCAGGCCTGATTTCCTCCTGGTGAAAAGGATCACATAACCCACAGCCTCATTAGCAATGTGGGGTCTTAAAGCAATAAAAAGAAAGCATTTCATTGCTCAGAAGGAAAGGAATATTCTATATGTGACTATAAGGCTTCCTACTGCAAGCATCTCTAATGGTGCACCAGGTGTTGGTTTGGTCACTACAGCAAGAGTGAAGGTCCATTTGAATAAAAATATGAAAAATAACCCCCTTATTAAAAATCTCAGATCTCTAATTAGGGACAAAAATCTGATCTTTATTTTACTAGTCTTCTTTAATGGGGCTGGAAGCAATAGTATTCAGATAGGGGCTACTACTTTTCTTTTGCCAGGTTTAATTAAAATCAATCTCTAAAATAGAATTTCATTAAATAACTTTCCTTTTTCTGAACTTCCTCCCCACTCTGTTTTGATTAATTAGATATGGAAGCAAATTCAGTGGTCCAGACAATGGGTCATGAAACTTTCAATAAATAAACTCTGGAAGAAACTCTTATACAGTCTGTACAACATCCTGAACAAGATGAAGACCTGAACTTTTCCAGCTTCCATTGAAGGCACAAGCATGAAGAATAACTTGAAAGATGGTTACCAAAACATGTAGAACAGAAACCTGTTTTACAGAGACCCTTTAATGATCTGCAAATATTTTGTCAGCAGCTAAGTAGTTTAAGAAGAGATACAAAACACCCACTTCAGCCAGTACTCTCCCTTCATGTCATTAAATTAGCCATCTCTTTAGTTTAAATTTCTTTTTGTCTAACTAATAGGCAGTTTTTTTACTACAGCATTACTTCTTTCTATTTCCATCTCAAGTAACTCTTTAGCATTTTAGATATAGTAGAGTGGAAATTGAACCAAACAAGGTCTCTCTCTCTTTGACTAAGAATTGACTTATCCATATCCATATATTTTATGTCTTTAAACTTAAAGTACACTTCTTTAGAGTGAATAATGAAGAAGAAAGACAAACAAAAATAGCATGCAAGTCACTTTTAGTTGTAATACCAACCAGTTTACAGCCCATTTGCTTATTGAAATACTTAAAGGCAAAAAAAAGACAAAAAAAGAAATACAAAATCAAACTGTAGGTGCTTAGACTTGATAATATGAGTGCTCTGAATAATACTTTTAGTGAGTGCATTTTCTAGATGTCATGCAGATGGCAATCTCAAAAATTAAATCAAGAACAAGAATCATAAGGATTTCCAAAACAATAGATAAATTAAGAACAGACATTCAGTTGTAAAATTATTTTAAAAATTACTTTATTTAGGAAAATTAAACAATTCAGAAAATATCTGTAAGGATGCCTTTATATTTGCAAATCGGTATTGCTTTTTTTTTGGTTGTACAACAAAGCACTATTAATCATGCTGCCAGCAAAGTGCTTCAGAATAAAGCAGACAATACCTTGTTCAAAACTTATACCAACAAAATTATATGAGCATGAATCTTGATTAAAAAAACTTTTCTCAAAAGTATTAATAGCAAGTCCTTAATGTGTTGCTCTTCTCCACCATGCTCAACAGACCCAGACCTATTAGTTTCTGACAGTGAAGCCTCTGATTAATGTTTACCACTCTGTTGTAAAAAAGGTGGGAAAACTACATGATACAGCTCCAAGTTTTGAGAAGGAAACTTGAGAATATCTGTGATTTGCAATACTCTGTACTGCCTTTCTGAAAAACAACCCAAACTGAACTGAATCAAACCAAACCACCACTTATAAAGAAATAATAGAAGCAAATATTAACAAATGCATGCAACTTCTGTGATGATGTTTCCCTGTATGCAAATCACAGACACATGCAGAATTCATTTATTGATGCTTAGCAACCTATATGGGAAATAAGGCATAGGAAAACATATCTAAATTCTATGGAAATATCTAATAGAAGACCAGCAAGTACCAGGTAGCAGAAATACAGGCCTAACTCTTCACTCATCTATAAAAGGAAGTTTTAATTGTTGCCTTGTTGGAGACATTCACATAAAAACAGACACACTTCAATGCTGCCACTTCTTTCAAGATGTTACTTTGAAACTTCTGAGAGCTAATTAAGGAAAATTACAGTGTCTGTTGTTTTTATGGAATTGCACATCTTTCCTTCATTGTGTGTAATTTTGATATATAATTTTAACTGACCAGTAGATCTCAAACCTGGCCCACATCATCTCTATTCAGCAGTGCCTCACAGGACAGTGTGTGCCTGGTGACACAAAGTGCACCTCTGCTGCCAACACGGTGACCCTGGCTCGGAGCAGCACGCGAGGAACTGCCGACTGCAACATCTGCAGGGGAACCTTTGCAGTCCTCAGTTCCATTTCAAAGGGATGGACAGGAAGGCAAGGACCAGACAACAGCTGCCATTCACTGCAGAGTCTCTCATTAATGATGGGGCCATCCTAAAAGATAAGTGCTTTTTAATTTTGAGGATAATTACAGTTATTAGCTTTCAATCTGTATAATTTTCACTTCTATTTTAATTGTTGGGCGAGAATTCCCTTCTTGCAAAAAGTAACCTTCACCAGTCTGCTCTCAAAGGTATATTTATCAAGTTCACACTCCCCAATGACATGTTTATCCAAGACCTTCAAGGTACTGGAAAATCCTACCCTTTTTCTTGCAATTAATAAGGATGTATCCAAATATCAAATATAACACTGACTGAAGAATACAGGGGCAAACACAGACCTCACGAACTATTATTATTATTTCTACATCTATATGGATTGTTGCTTCAGACACAAAGCCTCTTTCCTTTTCTGCATAAATCCATTTTTAAAGCATTGTGCAGGTAAGTATGCATCCAAGTATGAAAAGCATACAAGTTTGGAATAGTTTCTTCTACACAGACCATGGCTGGTGTGTATAAAACAATATATAAAATACCAATGTACTTGATTCAGTTCTGGGACAGGCAACAAAAATCTAATCTGAAACCCCAATCTTAAAATACATTGCTATGTGGAAAATAAGAATATTTAGGCATACCACAAACCAGCTGATAAAAAAAAAAATGCTGATCACTTTTATATGTATCATGTACCTTAATGATTCTCTATCCATACTATGTTTAAGGAATCCAAACCCTCTCCCTTTCCTTTTAGCTTTTATGTCTTGATTCCTTTATAATCATCAGTGCCAGTTTGTCTATTTTTCAACAGAAAAAAGCACAGGAAGTCTGTGCAGCTTTATAAGTTAATCAAAGAAATCAAGTGCCTCATCATGTAATACAAATCCAAATTTTTTGTTACTTGCTGTATGCTACTCCTTATCTATTCTAGGCAGTAAATGAACTAAAATTGAACCTGATACTTCCCATATGATTTCCCATCATCCTTTAAAGTATCTCTCAATGCTATCCTTTGACAATTGTCACTATTTCACAGTGACTACTGAACTAGCTTTGGTATATGGTCACAACCTGCTTATAACTTACCAGAGATTAACCTAATTTGTTCCTTTATGTTTCCTTGAAAAAAAACCACCCTCAGCCTCAGGATTGTTCTACACAAGACAACTTCATGTATTTTATTTATTTTAATGGGCTAATTAATAAGGAAAAATAGCTCTTGCTACTGAGATTTCTAAAAAGGAATTTATGAGAATTAAAGTTTGCTGCAGGGCAGACAGACTGTATTTAGAACTATTGTGTACGATCGCTGGTTTCCATCATACGTTTACAAAACTAACTCACACATTCATTAAGCAGAACTGTTTATAAAGGCATGATGCCTGCAGTTCTTTGCTCTAGCAGATCTACAGGTTTACCCCAGAATAATGCTTTCCATTACTTTGTTCAGATACCTTTGCAAGAGCAGTCAAATTTTTATATGTTTTGAACAGGTTTGTTTTTAAGCTTTATCAGGACTTGTAACTACTGTTCCTAATTCAAGATGGCCTAGGAGATCTTACTAAATTACTTCTAAACTAAAGATAAAAAAATTATATGACAGAAGGAAATAAGAACACAGGCACAAAGTTACAACTTATCTTACTGAATTTTATGATAAACATTCTTATTTATTTGTTTTCTGTGTTAAAGAAATATAGTAATACATGCAGGCTGGCCAAATATATCCCACGCTTACAGCTTTCCATTTTGGAACTTTTTGGGTTTTGCCCAAATTTTCAATCTTAGCACTGTAGTAACTGTACATTTGTGTGTTCTTCCACACGTAAGCTATTGGTACTTTACCTAAAAGCTCATGCAAAAATCTGTCATAGTCTGTGCTAATGTGTTTCTCTGAGCTTTTTTTAAAGTAAAAAGCATGCATGAACATCAAAGCACACACTGCAAATGATCGTTTCTAATCTTAGACATGTATCAATTATTCACTAGCTTGTTCTTCTTGCCTTTTATCATATAGACTTCACCATGGCAACACTATTCTTCCCCTCCTAGTCTTAATCAGTGAATCTGTAAACTAATGTTAGACCTAGCTGCTGGATTACTTAATATTCTACTTATTGTACCATGAACATAGACATGGCTCTCTTACTACATCATGAACCCCACACAATTTCCAAGATATCAATACATTTTAATTTGCTTAGCAAGGCTGAGGTGCTAACTGTGTAAGAGCCAGAGAACTCCTCTCTCACTGCTAAATATAAATATGTAGCTTTGAACTAACAAAATTCAGAATGGATTTTAATGTCTGGATGCAATAGCTCTTCTATGGTTGTTTCACAAACTGGGAAATGGTTGGCCTTCCAAAACCCCTAAATTTTAAACTCACTCTTCAATTTTAGAACCATTTCACTTGTTTTCAGCAAGATTCTTAATTTAAATATGTCATATCTGACAGTCTTCTTGGTATGATACCATTTCAATGTTTTCTTTCTGCTTCTTTATGCTTTCCAGCGTTATTAAACATACATGTACATATAAAAATGCATCTTTTTCTAGCTCATTTGGGCCTAGCTATTTCATCCCTTTCAGTGATTTTTTTCTAATTTCTCTCTTCTTTTTGTCTAATTAGGTTTTTCTTCACCCATTTCCCCTGTGTTTCTCCAACACTCTTGATCCTGTTAATTCTCACCTTCTTTTAGCTGTTCCATCACAAATTATGCTTCCTTTCCCCTCCAGACTGTGAAAATTGTTTATGTAGCTCATTAATCCAGCAGAGACATCTTTAATGCTTTAGTGCTGCAAGGTTTCTCCCTTCACCTTGTAAAGCAGAAGAGCCAAAATTTCTTGTTTCCCCAACTCTTGCTTTTTCACAGAGGTGCTCAATGTGTGATAACTCTGCTGAGATCTCTAAGGAGCACTGATTAAAGTTATGCTTTTGTGCATCTTATTATCATCCTGGCAGCAATTTCTAAGGTTTCTATAATATATAAAAATCTCAATGTGTCTCTAATATGTGAAACTCTAACTACAGTATTAACAGCACAGAAACTGTGATATACACATAGAGTTCATGTCCCTTCCCAGTAAGTCCTTAATATTTTTCCCATATTGCTCTTGGTTAAAATGACGAACTGTGTGATATTTCCCTTAAACATTCCTTATCTTCACCACAGTTAAAAGGAAGTTGCTACATGACCACAGGACTGTCTGGCAAAGGGGCTGTTTGTTGGCTGATGCTGGATACTGCCAAGACTGCTCCACTCCTCTTGTTTGGGAGGTGTGGGACTAAACTCTGTGTCACCTTCAAGCGTCAGCAGACTCCCTTTGGTTTCAGCTAAGATGGAGTTAATTATCTTCTCAGTAGCTGGAACAGTGCTGTTGTTTTGGATTCAGCATGAGAACAATGTTGATAATGCTGTGATGTTTTGGTTGTTGCTAAGTAGTCCTCACCCTAAGTCAAGGACTTTTCAGTTTCCCATACTTTGCCAGTGAGCAGGTACACAAAAAGCTGGGACAGAGCATGACTGGGAGAGCTGACTCAAACTGGCTAAAGAGAGCATCATGACCACTATCTAAACTGGGGGAGTTGGCTGTGCTGGGGGGAAGGCTCAAAATACCACTGAAAAATGCATGTAGCTAGAATTTTTAAAATTCTTTTACCTGTACATCAGTGACAAGGTCATCACACCTCCATATTTTGAGCCAGCCAGTGATGCACACATTCCCAATACAGTTAACCATATGTGACTATAAACCACTACAATGCACATCTTTCAGAGAGCAGAAGCTGCTCCACCAGCAACACAGGGCCCTAGGATTACACTTACAGCTCAGCTTATACACACTGTAAACTTCTTCTGCTTCAGCTTCCTTACTCCTGCACAAACACCAAGTCCCTAACTTTCAGTGATCTCCTCAGAGCTTGCTGAAGAATTGGATGATCCCGACCACACACAAGGCAAAATTTGGGCTCTTGACTCAATCTCCTCATTCATACACTGGATGGCACATGCACCAAATGACATTAGGAGCCATTTCTACCCATGCAATTTGCAATATTTACAGCCATGGATTATAACTCCACTAATGAATTACAGGACTCTCAGATCACAACACAACTGGACTACAAGACTTTGAAGAGATGGTCTCACAGACAGCCAAGCTCACTTGGCAAACCTTGGTTTAGGTTTTCACACAAACCTAAGACTATAAGATTTCAGAACTTGAACTTCGAATTGTTTAGATTCCTCTTCTAACTTCAGCCCAAAAGGAGAAATGTACAAGACTACCTAAACAAATTACACTTCCAAATTAAATGATAAAGTAACAATTCACACAAATAAGCAGGCTATTTAAATAAAAGCCTAACCACAGGAACTGATAATACTGAAGAATTTCTACTAGAAGTACTAGAAGATATCGGCATCCTAAAATGAGACCTTATTGTTAAGCTTAGCATGAAAATTAAGAGTTTATTAAAAAAATATGGAAATACTTTAGAGAAGAAATGGTTTATTTCAGGAAACAGCAAATAAACTAAGCTGCTGTTTGAAAATCTTGCCTTGAACAAATTTGGCTATTTTAACATTGTTATGTAAAAAATGCTGTTTGTTATCTTTCACTCTGACCACCAACTAAGTCTCAATAATCTCTTTGTTTAAGTAGTAAAACGTCTATGATGAATATTAAACAAGACCATGGTGAAAAGTGTTATTTTCCTATTTAATGCAGCTTTCCATCTGGCCAGTACTGAAATCCATAGGGCTTTCTGAAGCATATGTAGCCCAATGATAGAGACTTAGTATGGGGATTTTTTAATTTAAATTGTAGAGCAATATTCCACAGATGATATTCGGAAGTGTGAGGTTATATAAGGCAAGCCAGAGTGGATTTATTTTCAATCTTTAACAAAAAAAAGGATTAACAACACACCTACCGCAATCTGCACTATACACACTAATTAAAACTTAAAACTGAGTTTTCAGATCTTTTAGAAAAGAAGAGGCCAGACAGTTATTAGATGCAGTACATTCTGGTTGTAACTGATAGGTTTAAGTGGAAATTAAATAATGTAGTTTCAACTAAATTAAAAATCGCAAA